CTTTTCCCCCAGTCAAAATAAACAAATCTCCTTTGCTAGTTCTAAATAGCATAAGGGGGCTCAATCCCCCTTAAGTTTAATATATGTCATTTCATAATCTGTCACAACATCAGTGAAAAGAAAATTATGATACATATAGTGAGTAAAAACAAAATGTTTTTATGAGAGATTGACAAAGATAGTGTGATATGTGATGGATGACACATACAGGATATTAAAATTTGAAATAATAATTATTTATCTATTTTATTGCAACTGAAATACCAGAAGGTTCAGTTGAGATAAAGTCTTATCTGTTTCACCTGCTAACTGTCAAATTATTAATAAATTTATTGCATTATTAGCGATATAAATTTATGCATCACTGAAAGCGTACGGTTCTGTGGCTATGACATTTGGTTCCCCAGTGCCGCTCGATATCCTAAGTTATAAATAAGATCACAAAGCATTATGACGTTATTAATTATTAGTGAGGTCGTTGACCCTCAAGTTAGGTCACATTTCGCAAAGAATCATTTTTCCCATGTTTTCAATTTGTTTGTTATCAAAGACTTGTTGCCAATGGGGAATTGAACCAATTTATTCGTAAATTAACATAGAAATTATGTTAACACACATAAAAATGTGGAAAATGTTGAATCAAAATGTTGGCGGGAAAAATTATGGCATAGATAGATAAGGCTAACTAGTAATGATGTGAAATATGCTAATGTACTGCTAGTTCTTGCAGACAAAGAAAATATTAGAGATTCTCAAACCTGTTCCCATGGAAACAATGACTTTGTTATTTCCCAATAGTGTTAACTCATACTCTGTCGGCCATTTTTTAATTTAAAATCGTTAAAAAATACATGGTTAAGTTTTCACTGAACTTTTAAATAGCCTATCACAGAAAATTGTTATGATTACTATTCTACAATTTAAATGTTCTCTTTTCGTCTGAATATCCTCATTAGATACTTTTTTTTTTTTCATTCATAAAATTATGTAATATGTCACTAGATAGGAAAGCCATTAAACAATCATCAAATCTCATAATTGCTATCAAAGATATCATTGACATCTGACCTTTCTGTCACACTTATACCAAGCAAGGAAATTAGTCTGGCAATGAAACTGATGAAAACAATAACTGAAGAAATATTATCTTTCTTCTAGTAATTACTCCAGGGAAATTCTTTTTGTAATGTTGGCCATCTGTCTAATATACACGCTGTCTGTGTTGATAAATGAATGAAAATGGTTATATTTTTACACAAGATTATTCTTGTTTGACTTCCCATCATTCCCAATGTTGACAAATATTAAAAATATGTGTATTAAATGAAATTTACATCGTTGGAAGGCAGCTAGAGATGCATAATAAAATCTAATTTACATATTTAATTATTAAAAGGGGCTGCAGTCCTACTATTACGAAGCACACAAAAGTGAAAAAATTTAAAATATAAACTCAAAATTAAATTGTGTTTTAATATATGTTTATGCAATGCATTCTCTATGACACATCCTGTGATGTTTATTTGACTGGGGAACACTGGCCACGGGCGGAAGTCGGCCATCTTGTCCACCCGTTTCTGCCGATGTTGTGTGGCTCACTTTCGAATTTCATGCAAACAAACAAAAAACAAATGAATTTTATAGAAAAATCAATGCAGACACTACATTAATGCTATCAAATTTTGCAGGCAGTCAAACGAACACCGATAAAGATGGTTTTGACCCGGACACCAAAGTGCATGTCACCTTGGCTCTTGGTGGGTAACATATTCCCCACTAGATTAAATTTTACTGTCTTTAAATTTCAACTTTATTGACCCTCTACAACGATTCATCTTTGAAATGTCATGTAAAAGTTTCCAGAGCTACACCAATAATGCTCACTGAATACGTATTTCGTTAGTTAAAGGGCGATGACCCCCCCTGAGTTTCTAATAGTCTACCCTTAAATGCAGTACATACAATATACATTAGCTGAGATGTCTTTTTATTCATCCCTGGATTGTTATTGCATTGACATGTGCATATGTGATATGTCAGCCCTGAATGCCCACAGAGTTCCAGCTATGAGTTACATTTAATTGACAGCAGTCTGTGTGTATAGTAAAACAACACCCTACAACGATAATCAAAACATTGAACAGCAGGAGAAAGTTGATCCTTGAGAGTGTGAAATCAAAAAAATGTGTTTTAGATTTTGTATCATGAAAATATGTCTAAGATATCTTACTTGTATTTATTTCTTGTATGACCTACATTAATTAGCAGCATAGAGGTATTGAATTAGGCATGTACGTCTAGTATGACTACATCATCCATGTACAATTTAAACTAGATGTATTGACTTGCAGAACAAAACCTAGCCAATCAGAAAACTTGTTATAACATGTGAGTTCAATTTAAAATATTGCGTTTGATTCGCTAACTCAATTATTGCTAGCAAACCTATCAAGGAAGTGCTTTATATACCAAATTCCTGTTCTTATTGTCATAGCAGATTTTTGCTGGTACATTTGTCAACTCTGAGTATGTAATCAGTGAGCAGAATTACCGGTATATGATGTATGATCTTTCCAGTAATGCAGTGACCTCAATATCAACTACAATAAAAATATATAAAATTAAAAAAAAATAGTTTTTATTTATAAATTAAGTAGGTGCATTATTTCACTTTTGCTCGTACATGTATAATTTATTATGGATGATCTTTACAATAATTTTTTATATCATTTTTAATTGAATTTATCCCTATTGTGTTATTTTTATGAATCCCTGACGTTAATAAGAAATATATTTTAACTGGGGAATAAGTGAACTGACATGATATATGACTATTTTTTTTATAATTTGCTTTTTTACTTTCATATCTCACCTCTGCACGCCTTCGGAATGTCAATGAATGAAACCCAGCTGAGGGAATACATATTTGACATGTTAGGTGGTTGTGGTATAAGCTCCTTGATAATCGGTACTCTAATTTCCATATTTCACTCATCACTATATGTACTCTGTTTTTCTGGTAGTATAAGGTGTGCTTATTGTTAAAATGAGCCATTATTCTGTGTGCACTTAATTTATAGCGTATACACTTGTATAAATTACAGAGTTGTTTTTATAGTTGAATTAAAGGGGCATCTCCATTCCCACAACAAATTTGCTTTCTGGATTAAAATTACAATGGATAACAAAAGTTAGATTAACATTATAAACAACATAAACATTAGTGTCCCATGATTTTTTGGTGCAATCCCTGGGTTTGGCAGGCTCCCCTTTAAGTATTATTTTAATGATTTGCTATATAGCAAATGCGATTTTTAGTAAATATATACACTTCTACATAAGATGCACAAATAAGTACTATATGTATTATGTATTACTGATTGATCAAGTATAACGTATATACAAATTTTGAGTTTACGTAACATTTATTGCGAATGTGCTTCTAATAGTGAAAATATGTCAGATTGTAAATTAATATATTTTCCCCATTTTGGCTGAGGGATGATTCAGAGAAAATAAATTTAAGCCAATATACACTTTTCCGATATTTTACATTCAACTCGTCAAAAATCAGTGAAAGTATATTCCTTACAAAACACCCAAAAAGTCTTTTTAGAGAAATTAATTCAAGTTAAAATAAATTATTTTACAGTATACACTTTACTATACTATTTATCTTACTACTTTGTTAGTCTATTCATATTGTACCCCATTTATGCATTTTATCGTATTGTTCGGACTGCTATGTTATTGTCATTTTTTTATTGTAATTTTATCATATTATTTTGTAGTCATTTTATTTTATACCCTATTTATGCTTTTCTTTATTGTGATCTCGTCATTTTTGCAGTGGATTGTTTAATTCTATGTTATATTTTATATCTATATGCTGTGCATGAAAAACCATTTATGGATGTACTGTTCTAAATGAATAAATTACAAATTACAATAGTGTGCAGTTTATACAAATGATATTTCCTGTGGAATTATGAAATTTATTTTACTATGCAGATTTATCATCTATAAACTCTGCATTAAACTGAGCAATATACAATCAGTAATTCTAAAAATCCCTTAAATTCCATAAGAGACAAATGTTCCTGAATGTCGCAGATTAACATTCATCGCTGTTAATGGTAACTTGTTATTTTTACAATATACTCAACACCAACCCAAATAAATTGGTCCGTCCCTACAAAACTCTAAGCGAAACTGCCTTCGCTGGATACTTCCTGAAATTCTACTTTAATATCTCAGAAGATCAACTTTAATAGCAACCTTACATCACCTCTAGATCCTTCCTTGTACATATTTCATACAATATGACAGATTCTCAAAATGTATTACATTTATAATGGGAACATTATGGGAGTATACCTTATTTAAACTACCAATAAAATGTCATTGGGGGTCATCATATGGCTTTCTGATTCTGAAATAATTCTGCATTGATTAATAGTTATGTGGATGCTCTTTCAGTAAATATCAGGTTTATTGAAGAGAACTATTATAAATCAACGCAGAAGTAATGAACTCCTGATACCCTTGCATCTGAAAATATAAACAGTACAAATTCTGGCTATAGAGGGCGCTGTTTACAAAAAAAAAAAAAAAAAAACTTTTTTTAATGGGTTCTCTAAAGCAGGTAATCTGTTGCTGTTGTCACAAATTAGTTAATATTCAGTCAGAAAATGCACTTTCAATACTTAATATATGCGTCGTCAATTAGATATTCTACGAGAAAGAGCCAGTCATCATTTGATAAGTCCAAAACCCTATGTATAAAACATAGACCGCTGCACATTGTCAAACGAACAACAATATTATAACGATTGATTGTGGAAAGGTGTGTACACAGCAATGTGGGGAGTTAATTATTGTTATAATAAACATCATTGGAAATATTGACTCTGCTTGCATGATTAATAATCGTGACAATCTGTCTGACATACCCGTGTCATCTTTTTATTAATTTGAAATTCTCATTTCTTTCATTGCAGGGAGAAAGAACTCCACAAGACAAAAACAGAAATCATCCAACTTTACAAAATAACAAACTTTTAGTTGTCCAGAATCAAGTGAATGAACATAGAAATAATTTTCCTGGTTCCCATGACAACGGAGTAAGACAATTTAACCAGGATGATAGGACTAACCGGTTAAATGAAGTAAATAAAAATGTTTATAATAATATTAATAATAACCGGCAGGTGGTAAATAATGGACAAAATAATATTTTGCATCAAGATCAATTGGTAAACCAGGAAACAAATCAAGTTGGAGTTATGGATTTTAGTCCGAAATGTGCAATCAATGGAAAAGACACTTTGTCTGCTTTGCATCGAGCAAAGACGTCAGTATGTAAGCAGAAAATAGTGGATACTTACTGTGAAGTAGAAGATGGGATCGTCTACCCTCAGATGCTGCCAAGATATTGCCCATTGCCAGGTAACTATTTTATTAATAGTCACACGAACAAAGATTCTGAAGTCATTCATTCTATTTCCTGTTTTGATGAAATTCAGGGAAAAAAAAACGATAACTCAATTCATACAAGTGTGCATCCTTAAATCTATTTCTATTGCTTGGTTTCATGATGTGATGTTACCATGGAGTTTAAATCTTAGAGCGCAAAAAAAAATACTCATGTTGGACTATACTCAAATACATTGTACTCAAGCTCAAGTCACATGCAAAACAGCTGTACATGTACCTGAAACTTGACTGGACTGATCAATTTTATGTGTTTACCGGTATACTGTATGCATGTACATATTTTCTCAGGTCCGATTCAAGATGGCTGATTCGTATTTTTGATATTTTAAATTATACACTAAAAAAAATAGACAGTTGTATTATTTTGTTTCATCTTGTAGTCTGTCAGTCTGTAATTAGTCTTACATTTATTCTTTATTTACTTGCTTTATGGCATGGCTGTGCACTTGAATGGACTCAATTGACAGTGTGCTCATTAGCTTGTATAATGTCTGTCTGGCAGCCATTTAAAATTTCACAAAATGTTTATTATGGGTCCTATGCGATGTATATGATGCAAGTAAAATGTTGATTTACATGAAATTGGAACACATGCTTTAAAGGGGGGGGGAAACAAACAAACAAGTGTCTACCCATGAGCCTTTGTGTTTTAGCATGTGTTGTTATTGTCGCTAGGAACTCAAATCCCGCGTGTGCGCAGGTGACGACCCTCCCGCTGTAACACCACAACCATGACTCTTTAATGTTGGGGAGTCTCATCTGCACATGTGGCAGATGGCCATAGCATGTCTACCCATGAGCCTTTGCATTTTTAACATACGTTGTTGTTGTTGTTGTTGTTGTTGTCGCTTGTTACTCAATTCCTATGTGTGTGCAGGTGAGAACAACTTTGCTTTTATTAAAATAAATTTGTTAGACGTTACTGTATATAACCTTCCAAATTACGAAGAGGTTCAACTAAGTCTATCATGTTGATATCAATCTTATTCTCAGGTAAACCTGCGCTACAAGTAGAAATGGTTGGAGAAGATTTCAATCCTGCTGTTGATAAACCAGTCAGAATTGTTTATATCCTGATCGTTAATGGTCGTGCCTTTAGACAAATTAGAAGATTATTCAAAGTTCTGTATCATATTGATCATTATTTCTACATACATGTGGATGCGGTAAGTACAGTTTGTGAATTTCTGAAACACTTTTAGTAATATCCTAGCCTGGGTATACCCATCTATTAATCCACTGGATACTCACTCTCCAAACATTTCTGATATTGTCTCATTAAATTTATTGCAATGTCTTGAAGAATGGGTATACGGTAGCTGATGCGGAAAATGTATATTCAGAGAGGTTCAAGGCAAATTAAAGATTATATATAATTTTTCCTCATATTTTCATTATTTCATCAAACTATTTTTCAAGATAAATTATGTAAAATATTTACTCTTGTTTTCTATGGTGAAATTTTTCTTTCATATCTCAAAATTTTGTTTGGGCTCAAAAGGTTTTATTTCTACTATTGATAAAATCCTAATATAGTTTAAAATCTATCGAAAAATTGACATATAATTTCAGTCTTCTGTATGATAATAATTTTATACAATGGGAAGTTAATTCTCACCCACAATGCATTGCACATATGTGCATTGACAGGCTCAGTAGTTCAAACTGCCTGAACTGCCATCCATTGTTTGGAAAATTAGCATATTCAAATTAGCAGCATGCTATTTTTATCAGCCAATCAACATCACAGTTACCAACTCGATAACAGAGGTGAAATATCAGCAGCAATTCCAGGTGTGACGCATAACAGAGGACAGATAATAATTCTATAGGTCAAAATATTTCATTATTTTCAGAGGTCTGATTATCTGCATAGAGAATTGAGTCAGATGGCCCAGTGGTATCCGAATGTTCGACTCACGCCATGGAGGATGTCTACTATATGGGGTGGCGCAAGTCTATTACAAATGTTATTAAAATGTATGCAAGACTTATTAAATATGACTGATTGGTACTGGGATTTCTTTATTAATATCAGTGAATCTGATTTCCCAATTAAGTAAGTATTACGCTTTAATCAAACGTTCTGAGAAAGTCCAAATTTTGCATGTGTGCTTTTTCAAACAGTACTTAACTTTATTCTTTTTTGTTTTCAAAACAATCAAAATGTAGAATAATATAACTCATTTATTGGAATCAAGCAGTGTACACTCGCACAAACAGTACTGTACAATAATTGGAATACTGAGGCACCTGACAATAGAGTTAAAGATACAGATTTAATAGTGCAGCTATGTCAAGGAAATAATTTGCAATGTTAGCTGAATGGTGGTGGGGAATTGCAAAGCCAATCTCTGTAAAATAGTAAAAAAAAATTTTGAAAAATTAAAATCACTGTCCATGAAAGACATGCAAAATGTCTTTTTGACTCCCGTGTGCGAAGCACAAAAAGGGAGTCTTTGCAGTTAGTGTGTCTGTATGTGTGTGTGTGTTTTTTCATTAATATACAATTCACAAACTAGTATTTGTATTACTGTTACGAAAATAATTTGTCACTTCATCATTATTAAACTTCTGAGCACAGAAGTAAATCTTTGTCAACATCACATACCGGTAATTTTTTTAACTTTAACTTTTGATCAAGATTTGTAATATTTGATCCAAATATAAGCAATAACATGTCCAGGCTGTTTTGTTGTAAATTCCACCTGATTTTTAAAATATTATAGAATAGATTCATACCAACATTTTCATGGAAGTAATATAACTGTAAAAATAGATGATACATGTAGTGAAGTGAAGCATACTTTGATGTTATTGTGGAAGCATGATATATATTTTCAATTCATCAGAGTGAATACCTTTCACTGTGCTTATTAAGCTGACTCATTGCCCATATGGTATTCTCATGCAATATTGCATCACGATAATGTCATAATCTAAATTAGAATTTTGAAAATAATAATACATTTTCAGGTTCCATTACTCATTTTTCACCATTCAATCGCATCCTTCTTCAATCCTAAAACTTTTCCTTAATTATATCGGGCTGTTACACGGATTTAATCAAGAATATTTCCCGGCATAGCGGTAATGATACAGTATTGTGCGCTCCATTGCATACAGCGGTTAACAAGATTAGAGTTTGTAAGCGAACAAATCCCAGCAAACACCGAGGTCACTTTAACCTTTAATGTACTTGTTTGCCACTTCCCAGGAGTGATATCTTCAAAGTCACTTTTTACAAAATACAATTCATGTATGGTATATTGATTAATTAAAGCAGGGGAGTAGTCATCTGCGCATGCGTCAGATGGCCATAGCGTGTCATTGTTTACAAACAAGCGTCTACCCATGAGCCTTTGCATTTTTAGCATGTGTTGTTATCGTTGTTTCGGACTCAATTCCCGCACACTTGCAAAACAAATTTTGTAGCAAAAATGAACGCATTCATAAGATTAACTATTATCAAATCACATTGAATATGAGTTATGTCATTATCACATTCTGAATATGCATGAGGTCTTTTGATTCAAACAAACAAATCAGTAATTAAAAACTAGAATAGCGTCAGACGTCTGTATAGCAGTTGCGGCATTGAAATAATTTTGTTCGGGAAGTAAACTTTAAGTGAA